TAATATTGGATATAACGCAGTGTAAAATGTCACTTTTTTTTTTTTTTTTCGGAGATACGGTGACAGATAATGTATGTGTGTGTGTATGTATGTAAACACTAAACATTGCACGCAATAACAGTACACCTTTGTAGTTTGCAGTATATACATATACGACACACGAGCGAGTATATAATATAGTAAAAGAGCTTCGCATATAAACAAACTGTAGGGCGAATCAGTCGGTTGCCCTCGTGTAGTACCGATCTGTCTTGTCTCTAATAGCTGTCGGTTTATTAAAAAAAAAAAAAAAAAATTGTCTTTTAAACACTCAACTTCAATCTAAATTATTTTCCTACAGGGACGTCGCTAAGTGTATAAATGTGGGTTCGTCGATGGCCACAATGAATAGCAGCTAGACGGCTCGCGTGTACCTAGATCAATTATTGATCAGCGCCCAGTGACTTGCTATCTTATTTGATTTGGATTATTGTACTCGGATCAAAAACCAAGGGCGCGTATTGGAAGCGAAAAACGAAAGACACGTCCCCCCGGGCTTTTTTTTCGCCTATTCTTTCTAACACTACAATACACGTGCTTACGCCGGTTATAACACATTTCGGCATCGATGCGGAGCTGAGAAGATTGTTTTTATTAATCTTTGAAAGTATTTAAGATAATTTTCGTCTATACACAATCCCATTAACTTTTGTCCGTCGAGTTACGAATAAAGTTTTTTACTAGTAAAAAAATGTATCTATTTTCTGTCATAATAATACTAGAATTTTGCTCAACTCCGATTTTAATATAGGGCACAATAACGTGTATACAAGCAACATTGTGCTGCACATAATAATTTATAGTAACGTGTGTACCTGAGTATACATTGTACAGATGTTTTGCAGTGCTCAGGCGACGGATTCATTCACACATGCACGCAATTGTTGCGTATCGTTTTAATTAGCTTAATCGTTCGGCAAAAATAAAAAAAAAAAGAATCCAAACACTCAAATACAACCGAGTAGTTCTCGATGGAGAGCAAGGTCTGTGGAGGCCGCGTCAAGGTCGCCGGTAAAATAAAATACAAGTGGGTAAAAAAATAATAATAATAAGTAACAAAAAAAAATAAACCGATCGAAGTCGACGGTGAAGACATATAACGACGGGCCATACCGTTTTTTTTTTGACGAGTTGGACGAAAATTAACCAAGAGCTCATCTGCTCTGCATGTAAACAAATAAGTGGTATATTAAAAAAAAATAACAATAATGATTCGCGTTACACATATGATAATATATATATATATATTATATTATAAGTGTGTCACGCGTACAAACGCTCAAGGCTGTTGTGTGTGCGATGATCGCATTGCGCGCGCCGGCCAATCCTCGTTTATAATAATAATAATATGTGTTATTAAATCACGTTTACCGAGTGCGATTGTTTTTTAAAAATTTTTTTTTTTCGATAACTCTAAAACGATAATACTCCCATACATATACACATCTGTCGAACGGAATCCACTTGGTCTACATATTTTATATCGTTTTGTTATTATTATTAAAAACTATCGCCTTTAGGAAAACATGTTCGAGTAATAATATGCAAGCAAGCTTATCATACGCGCCAACCGCGACCTTGACACTAAAAAAAAATTAAACGTTCCATCGGTTTTTTGAATTTTGTATTGTAATTAATTTATATAATTTTAAATTTATAATACATTTTTTTTTTGAGCAATTTTTTTCTATACACATTATACGACGAGCCCCGGGATGCGGCAGACCCGTGGGCGATCGGTCAATTCGTATAGTAATATAATACTGTTAAATAAAAAGTATTGCAACGAAACATTATTGTTGTACGCTATGGCTATAAGGCGATCGGTGGCAATCAAGGTTTACGTTCAAGGTGGAACTCAGCGAGTTTATCATCAAGGCGACCGTTTCTTCCGCGTTGCTAAAAAACCTTGTGAAACTCGCTTGGAGGTGGAGCAGGTGTATAATATTGTATATCTACAATTTGGGTTTTTTTTTTTTTTACTATTCGCACTTCTTTGTCGCCGAGCCGATCATCGTCGTCGCCGGTTATCGAGATAGGTTTAATAGAAAATCCATGACGGACCCGGCAAAAAAAAAAAAAAAGGGTTAAGTCATGATTTTAATAATTGCATTAAATATATATATATATATAAATATGCATACGATTATAATATGAATATAAAGAGCTGTCGAACCAGCTGAAAACGGTAAAAAAAAACACACAAGTTGTCGGGCGTGAGAAACTGTTTAAATGTTCAATAACCCAAACAGTGACGGATTCAGAGGTCAACCGAAACGCATAGATTTTTCGAAAACTTTAATTTAATAACAGTAATCAAAAAGATACAAGAGTGGTGTAATTATTTTTAATCATATTCGTATCATATTCGTATAGTTTGCAAGGAATTACTAATTAGGGGAAAAAATTAAATTTACAGGTACAATTTTTTAATTTAATCATTACACACCGTGTAAAAATTGTCTACCGTTAGAAGTATGCCAATATTTACAGCTCGAAATTCAATGCAAGATTTACATGCAAAATTGTTACCCATATAATATTTATCTATTTGGTCGAGTTAGATACTTTAAAAATTACTTACAGATCCTTCACAGTCATATTGTCGAGCCAAACTCGTCCTTACCACAATCGGAGGGAGTGTAATTAAAAATCAAGGTTCCAGACTTTCAAATTTACCTTTCAAACTATTGTATTGATAGACAGCTAGATGGATGGATAGATAAATAGTTTAATAGACAAATATATATATATATATACATATAAAATACAATAAATGTCAGCTTAGACAAGAAAAAAAATGTATTTTTAATAAATTTACATTTTTAGTTATCTATTTATTTAGTTTAGTTATCTGTTAGGTATAGTTCGGCAATATAATTGCACCCTGTTCACATCTTCTTGCAGACATTAATTGCGGTAAGAGGAATATATTTATTGTCAACAATTATCCCATCCCTAATTTCTGGCCTAGTAGTGTTATTTTTCAAACTTTTACAGAGTATCTGATGACGTTTGATTTGCTACTATAACTACGTGTAATGAAATTAAAATAGATTTCGTAGAACTATCTAGTACCCAAGGCAAGTTTTGCATAGGCGAAGGAGAAAATCGTATCATAATATGTTAATTACGAGTGTACCTATTTTTAAACCGATCCAATGATGCTATTATTTTTTGTTTTCAGGCAAACCTGTCATTATTCCAACCTACAACAGTAGTCTGTCCGACCTCTGTTTTTAGTATTTACTAAAGTCGTTGTTTACACGGATGACGTCATGACCGCGAATCTCTTGTGAACGCCCAAGGATTTTTTCAGGACTCGGTCCACCTTGATAAATTTTTACTCACGGGTTTTTTTTTATTTGTTTTTCAATTTGGACCCTCTGGAGATCGTATTGCTGAACTAAGGTCTGGGACGTCGTCTGGAAGTTCAAGGATCTCTGGAAGGCAAACTAAAGCGAGCGGCGAATTACCGTGTGCTGCGGCAAACGAGGAAGATGTAAACCCATTTGTTTGTATAAATACACAGAAATGTACGTTTCACCGGGGAAATTAAAATTATTCGATAATAATAATTATTATTTATATTATGTAATAGCAAATGTATGGTGAAGTGCATAAGCTGCTAAATTTGTCAAAGTAATAATTACAAATATCAAATAATTTTAATAATTTCATGTTAAAGTGTTATTAGTTATTACATATAAAAACCAAATGGTTATTTATATGTCAAAAATGTTCACTTGCATTTGACCCTCCCCCCCCCATCTTTCATAATATTTACATTTGTCCCGTTTACTACACTTGTTTACTATAAAAATGTTGAACGTGTATGGAAATTTTGGGCGTTTTTTCTTTAATATTTTTACCGGTTAAGTTATTTTTTTACCGATAAGCAAGACGCCTAAGCGAGTCGGTTGACTTTATTATTATTATTATTAATATGTTTTACATATTTTTTCTTCTATTTAGCCATACCGTTGCTATCGGAGCGTAGGCATAACCGGCGGGACCTCGCTTCGATTATCACAACATTATATATAATATATTTATATTATTTAATATCACAAACGGTCGTCGTTAATGACTATAATAACACTAGTTGTATTTGTTATTGGCAAACACTTTGTATTGTATATAATAAAAACATTATTATATATCTATGCAACCGACAAACGCACGGTGATTAAATACTTTTTCAAAGGTTATTGACACGTTCACGGGGTAAACGGATAGGTAACGTTATACCCTAAAAACTCACATCGAAGTTAATGCTACGCAATAACAATTATAGTATTTCGTTTTAAAAAAAATATATACATATATATATATATTTGTATATGTTAGCTCAGATGCGGAGCTGAGAAGCTATTCAATTTTGAAAAAAACCTGACAGGTGAGAACCGTCATTTTATTTTGAGCGACTACCAGCGCACAACCTTTACCTATCCCAACGTACCGGCCGTTGTCAGATGGCGCCAAAGTTGCAAGTTGAGCCAACGCGTTTGGTGTGACGGATGCAAAAAGCAACGAAACTCCCGTCTGTTGTTTTAGTTAATGTACAACCAGCTATACATATAAATCACAAGCTGTCTAATTTTGTTTGTTGTTGAAGTAAAATGCTAAAATTTTAGAAACACAATAGAGAAAACTGACTGTACGGTCGCAAAATAGGACATTTATTACTACACCGATAACAACGACGACGACGACGACAGTGCAAGGAATGGAATTCTACAAAAATTGATTGAATAAAAAGTACACTTAAGGTTTGTTGGTTTTTAGTTGAGAATTTTTACGAAAACCGTCTTCGTCGAACTCTTAGGTAAATCCGAAAAATATGTCGCGGGTCAAGTGACAAATTCGATTCGTTTCCATTCCACCGGCCAAAACGGTCAAACGTGTTGTCTATACTGTAGTATTATTATATAGTACGTTTTATCAATGAATCGACTCACCGGTAACAGTATAAATCCGTGCCGAAAGTGACGGCGGAAAGACGTTATCCAACAACAGTGCGGTTAGGGGTGTAGCTGTTCTTGGAAGCGGTTCTGCGGAGATTGGCGAAAAGATCAAAGCGAATTCGAAAAGGCACAAAAACCCGAGAACACACCGTGTACGCGTGGAGACGGAAAAGACGAAAATTAGCACCAATCGAGATAAATTGACGAAACAATATAAATCAAGAAAAATTTGAAGAAAAAAAAAATAAATAAGAGTTAACAGTAATAAAATTGATTTACAACACCCGGAACCCGGTTAGGCGGACGGAGTATTATTTTAGCTGAACAAACGACCGGCGGGACGATTGAACGGATTGAACCGCGTGCACACAGAGCGTTCACTGTGATATGGAAACGCGGTCGCACGGTAACTTGTCGGCGGCGGCGGCGGCGGCGGGAAAACGGACGCCGAGTGGGGCCGATGAAGGCCGGCAGCTGCCGAACTTAACCATCACTCGATGAACGCTCGGTTTGGTCTGTTTATTATGATAACAATATTTCCACCGTTTTAATTATTATTGATAATATCGTTTTGTCGTATTAAACACTATCGGTTGATACACACGATTAAATCGTTCTAAAATAGAAAGTTGTATCATTACCGTTATTGTGTTGCAAGTTTGTCAACGACATATTTTGTTTTTGAGTAAACAAATTACTTATTACCGAATAAAACGATAAATTAAACGATGAATTGGACGTATTCGACAAGTTTGTCTGTAACAAAAGTACCGGTTATCGTGATGTACACTCGAAATCGTTGTTACAAGTTGATGGCTAAATAGGTCCCAAATAAGTACAAAAAAAAAATGTTTTGAGATTTTTACTTGAATCTCTTCGTTTCCCTGTTCCTCGGTATATTATTAAATATACTTGTTTATTATCATTTCAAATTAGGTACATGATAATTTATTTGATAAAGTCTAGAAAAGCGACAACAGGCCTTCCCGAAAATTACTTTCGATGATAACTAAATTCCTAAAGGCAAATAAGTATTCTTTGTCTCATGTATATCATAAAAATGTTGGGTGAAATTTTTTCCTACTTAAAAACTTAAGATAACACTAGGCAAATAACATACACAGCATTTTTTACTTATTGTCATAGAAATTAGGACAATATAATTGGTGCATTTTTCATTTTCATCCGACAAAATTCAGATTTCCTAATTTTATTACTATTTTATGTTAACATATATAATATTAATGTATTTTAATTCACAAGTGTTATTAGAACTAATATACATTTTTTTTTTTAGTCAAAAGTATGAAAAATTACATTATACACTTATTAGTCTATTTTGCACAAGTGAACTTCTTATTCTAGCGATTTCAACCAGCGATTAAATTCATTTTTAAATACTTATAATTTATAAAGTTATCACAAATATTTACATAACAATTTATTGGTCGACTAAATTATGAAATGTTCTCTTTAATTAGAGTTATCCGGATGAATAATTAATGTAATTAAAAAAAAATATATTCATATATATTCTTTAGTTATAATAAAAACGACGTATAGCAAAAAACCAAGAGAATACCATTGAGCCATTTGCCTAGAATGGTCGGATAGTTTTTGAACTCAATATACGACAAATTTGACTAAAGGTAGGTCGAATAAAACGCTGTAATATTTACTAAAATCTGTAGTCAACATTTTTTTTATTGAGAATTAACAAACAGAAACTATGATCACAAACGCAGTAATAATTTTTGTAAAATGCCATATTGTTTTACCTGTTGGTATTGACATATTTTTGCGTGTTTGATTGTTTACATTTAATATTTTTTTTCATGTATACAGCGTGATCAATTTAACGTAAGATACGTTGGTTCTTTTTTAAACGTTTTTTGGTTTTGTTTGCTCTAATATACAAAAAAAAAACATGTAACTATTGAAAATTGTTACTAGATCGTTCTCAGTACTTGACGAGTCGACCCCAAACCAACTGTATTGTTTTTTTTTATTAAATTTTATAGTTGACTATTATGGTGTGTGTGTGTGTGGGGGGGGGGGCGACTTTCTGATATTTGCGATAAGATCACCAACGGCGTTGTCAGACGTGAAAATCTAGTTGGCAAAAAAGAAAAAAAAACACCACAAAAATTGCAATTATTTTTTTTTTGCTCAGTTAAATTTTACACATCGAAAAAAAAGCGACAACAATAACAAATAGGATACGCGCGCGTTGACATTGACTCTGACTGCGAAAACATAAGATATTTAGGTACGTTGTCGTGCATTATTAGCGATAGTGCGCGCATGCACATCAATGAAACCGTGATAATTAACGACGATAATCTTACTTATTGTATATTAGATAGTATAATAATAATAATAATAACGACGATTAATTAACGTAATCGTTATCGCCGCCGTGCGATAATGGGCATATCGCGGGCAATTGTAGTTTTTTATTATTATTATTATTATTTTTTTAATCTTCCTACGATACGGCGGCCGGCGAGCCCTTGACATTGTTGTGCCTGAATTGCCTAATCGAAACGCCGGCCAAACCGACAGTTTTTTTAATATCTTACTATCGCAAAACATTGTCGCAGTGCACTAGTCGACGATTTGCACTAGAGAGGCTAATACGTTGTTATTATTTTGATAAAAAAAAAAAAGAAGGAATTTTTTACAGTTAGCCGTTAGGTTTGTACAAGCGATACATAATAGCAACGTACAAGAAAGCGTTTTTCTACCGACCGCCGTGTCGAGCATTTGGCCAAAAAATGATGACATAGTACTTTTATCTTTCTGCTCAAACTGACATGATTGTCGTTTGCCACATTAAACGACGTTCAACGACCATACATAAGTTATTTATAATTGTACTTATGTTTTAACACAGTCTCCTTAAAATACACTGTGTCACTTGCACCTGTACAACTAGTTCACGTAAATGACCCTGTGCCGCGTAACATCCGTTTTATCAAACATTGACAACGTGAGCTTATGGCATCACTTCGACCAAAGTTTGACCCACGTTCGTTTATTATGACTTAATCAAATCGCCCACACACGACATCTGTAGAGAGCGTCGAGAAATATGATGTTGAACGAGGTCTCAAGTTTAAATACTTTTATGAAAATTAAAAATATATTAACAACCACTTAAATAATTATAAACCATCAGACGGACAACGCGTTGAGTTCATAAAAATGTTTTGTTTACAAATTTTTAAATGATAAAATCGTTATATTTTGTTGTAATCAAAGATATAAAGTTCAACTTTGACTAAATACCTGTACAGAAATATAAAGTAGAAGCACTTACCAAGTAGTCAATTTGAAAACAAATACGTTCAGTATGTGCATATAATCATTAAATGCAGTTGGGTTCAATGAAAAAACCGCGGAGTAAATGCAGTTATGGGTTTTTTATTTTTTTCAAAATCTCATGGCAGTAAACTTTAAAACAATAAACATCAACATTTCTGGTAAAATTATATTATTTTAGAAATAAAAGAAATTCCCAAAAAGTTTAACCATTCAATTATTTTTTACACTAACGATACAAAATAAACCTATTTAGGTGTGATTATAAGAATTATTAAATAGATTTCTACTTTTATATAAAAGTACAATAGAAAATCAAGAAAATATCTATAACCTTTTTACCAGAAATAGTGAATAATTTTTCCTTATCTTGTTTTTTATATACATTTTTGAATCAATTAAGAACCGGAAATGACTGTGGCGGGACGAGGGTAGAAATGTAACTAACGTCACGTTAGTAACGTGTACGCAAAACATGAGGTGAACAGAAAAAAATATTGGAGAAAACGGCTGTAGGTATTCAAAGAAACAAAATGAAAACATTTATTCTTTGCTATAATGTGTAATCACAAAAGCAATTTATAAAAAAAAAAACATTTATGGCAAAAATAAATTAATAACTTCATGTAAAAACAAAATAAATGGGTTTTGTCATAAAATACGTCACATTTTCCAATGGTGTAACATAAAGCTCACCTACCATTCCAAAAGAGGTAAAAGACAAAACACAGTTGTAATAGTAAATATATCAGAATTGAAATTTGATTTAAACACTGAACACGGAATGTACAGATATTGAATGCTATAAGTTTAACGTAGAATAAAATAGAATGATGTTGACAAATATCATGACAATTATTATTTTAAAAATATATTATATTTTTTAATGTGGTATTAATATGAAATGATTCGTCATCATGTACATCTACTACCATTGCGCAGTGTGTGTAATTATGTTGGTATTGTCGGCACAACTAAGATTTAATTGACAATATTATTGGATTGTTATTGGAAAAAAACTCACTCAAGGGTGTACGGAAAAATAGAAAAAAACAATCGGGTTCTGATTTTAGCTTTTTAAAAAAAAATTGCCAACGAACAACTGCAAGTTGGTTGCTAAAATTGTATTTCGAATTATCCGTTGAAATCTATACCTTGAATAATATTACAAACAAAAAACGTCAACAAAAAACTATGTTATTACATTTATTTTTGCGAGTGTTCAAACGTAGTTAAGTACGTTTGAATAGGTTTTTAAATAGTGAAAAGGTAATTTTTCAAGAACAGCTTTTTTCAACGAGGAAAGGTCAATCCGTGTACATAAACAACCGATTGCATATTATTTGTTGGTTTGTATGAAAAAAAAAAAATACTTTACCGGATTTTATTTGTATGTGTTATTCGTTTTTATCTCATTTATGGAAATATCTAAGCATATGCGCAACGCTAAGTTATTACAACTTTGGTTAAGTATCTCACTTATCTTGTTCGTCAAATTTTCCATTTCATAGTTTTAAATAAATACTATAAAAATATAGTCGTATTGACCTATTTCTCGCGTAGAACGCAGCGATTCGAAAACACTTGTCTTCAGTACGCTATACAGTTTGCTCAGGAGTTTTCACAAAATCTCCACTGCAAAGATAAGACCATACCCGGGACGGTCAATTGCATCGATAAAATCGCAAAATGTATTTTAATAGCAGCAGTTTTTTTGTCTTATAAGAATATATTATGTCACCGACTAGAATAATAGTAATATTATTACATGCTGTTTTGCATTCAAATAGTTTTCGGAAAAGGGGCGCGAGCAAAAATATGTAATCGCTGTGATTTGTGACCTACGGCTTTTTATTAAGCGTATTGGCTTATTATTAACACTCATCATAAAATGAAACACTTACAATTGAATGTATCTGGCTCAATACAGAAATCATTAATATTATCACCGTAAATCTTAACCATAATATGAATTCTATATTTTAACTTTTTCCATCGAACCTAAGAAAAAAAGTTCGCTTAGAAAATATAAATAGGTAATTATAAT